TCACTCTTTTCTTTGCCTGGACTCATTTATTCACACATTGCTCCCATCTTGTTTATTATATTCCTATATTTTCCTCTCAATCTTTAAACTTCTCTTTTCTATTTATTGCCCTTTCAAAGAAGATGAAAGAGTAGGGAAGAGGAAGGAAGAGAAGACCTAGAGATAGTCACAAAGGGAATTGAGGGAGAAGTGCCTTTTAGAATGTGCTTTGTTCCGTGCTAGTAACTTTTATTTTCAAATAAAAATTAGGAAGAAATTTCTCAACATCCCTGACTATTCAAATTGTATTCATCTATCTGTCCAGCATATATGTCAGTCTTCTATGACCTGTCTCAGATTATTCCAGACTACTGAGCTTGTAGAACCATTTAATTTTTTATTTTAATCTGTCCCATATTTATCTTCCATATTTATATTTGTCCTGTGACCTAAACTAGGTTTAACCTCCAGCAGATCAACTGGGAGCAAAGCAATGACTATAGTTGATGTGTTCATATGTTTATTTTAATTTTTCTATCTCTTTAGCAGCTCACTCAACTATAAGGACTATGTAGATTGATGGTAAAATGGGATTAAAACAGAAATGAGAAAATCTAAACAGTTCTATATGAATGGAACCTGGATTGATGAATACATGACAAAATAAGAAACATAAATTTGATGCAGTTTATGGATATGTACCTGATAAAATAAAATAGGTAAAATGCCTAGGATTCCAGATCTATAATAGCACCCAGCATGCTAATTCCATTCCTTTCTATTACCATAATCATCATCATAAACCAATATCATCTGATGTTTACTGAATACTTACCAAGCACTATGCACGCAAGATGAAATACTTTACTCATCCTTCAACACAGCCCTAAAGCACTCCAAATTTTTAGGTTACAAAAGCCAAAATTTACCCAGCATAATGTACATTGGCTAAGGTAACAGCTACTAAATGTTCTAGCTGGGTTGAGCTCAGGTGGTTAGGACTGTAAAACCCACTGCTCTCACTGTTATGATCTTTGCCTCTCTCCCTTACTCCACCCTGACCTTGACTCAAATTAACCAAAGGTATCTCCAGCCTGAGTCAGTAGTTCACAATGAGCCCTTTAGGAAAGGCTGCCTGTGTTACCTCTTGGTCTAGCTTCTTTGGCTTTGCAACTTAGAGATGATCCTAGTTTTCAATAGTAATGTAAGGTTCCACCTCAGTCGTTGGAATAATATTTTCTGGTGATGTGTTCCAAGCATAGGGAAACTTTAAAATTTGGCACGTGGCCCAGCCTGCGTGGCTCTGTGGTTGAATTTTGATCTATGAACCAGGAGGTCATTGTTCTATTCCCAGTCAGGGTACATGCCTGAGTTGGGTACACAGTCTCCAGAGTGTGGGGTGCAATAGCAGATAATCAGTAATTCTCTCTCCTCTTTGATGTTTCTATCTCTCACTCCCTCTCTCTTCTTCTCTGACATCAATAAAACATATTAAATTTTTTTTTTGCAGGTGAAGCTATGTGCAGCCAAGGCTAGGGAAAAATACTCTACCTGATTCGCACACACAAGCATGATTTCCAAAGGGTACTATAAATTCCTAGTTCTTCTATGCCCTGAAGGGGGCAGATTCATAAATCATGTCAGCCAAACATAGAATTACCAACTGAAGAAAATCGTCAGAACTTGAAACCTCTTTTTCTTCTTTTTTTTTAGAATAAGAAATGTTACAAAAGAATATAAAGGAAAGCTTGATAATGTAAAAGCTTTGAAAGGTAACATTTAATTATTATATTGATAATAATTTTCTGATTTTCACTCTTGTTTCTTGCACTTGGTGAACAATTACTAGTGGTATTTCAGATTTGAAATTAGTTATTTAGCCATATGATAAAATTTCCTGTCTAACAATTATTTCTACTATGTAAAAGAAAAAATTGATTGTGTTTTCAAATTATATATGACTTTGAAAGATATACTGTGTCATACTGAGGTAGCCTAAGGCTATTCTGGGTTGTTTTCTACAAACTCATATTTTTCTTCTGTAATTCTAAAGCTATTGTAGATATTGCTATTTTTATTTTGTGCAAAAATGTCATATACACCAAAGGATTTTTATCCACATAAAAATTTACTGAACTATTAAAGTATCATTTATATTATTTAGTCAATAAATATTAACATTCACCTGCCATATACCAGGCAATATCAATGAACTTAAGAGTATACTAGTAAGAAGTTTCTTGGTTTTAAAACAAGTAATTTCAAATTTTTAAAACAGGATGCACATATAAATTTATAAAGGCATATATTTTTATTTTGAGTTTAACAATCTAATATATTCATATATAGAAAACATGGCCATTCAACGAAATAAAAAGACAAATTTTAGCTCCACAATAAATTTGTAGTTTTTTTCCTACCTCCCTACCTCTTTTCCTTCCTTCCTTTCTCCCAGCCGTCTTTCCTTTTCTTTTTTCTTCCTAGATCTGGCATTTGACATATATGAAGGCCAAATCACTGCAATACTTGGTCACAGTGGAGCTGGAAAATCAACACTATTGAACATTCTTAGTGGGTTATCTGTTCCCACCAAAGGTAAGAGGGTTCTTCTCCCCCAAAGTCAGGCTGACAAATAAATCAGCTGTTAATAATAAGTTCTTGTAATCTTTAATCACAAACACAGATTACCAGAAATAAATGGAAGTTAATTTATAGTATTCTATAGAGGTATGCAATCTTTAATGAAATTTGATTATTTCATGATTTATTTTCTGGTCCTTTGGCATTCCAACTTGTATCTGTTAGCTTTTGCTGCACAACAAGCATTCCCAAAGCTAATAGCTTAAAATAAAAATGTTTGCTTATTTCTCATTACTCTGTGGGTTGGCTGGTGGTTTTTCTGTCTGGATTAAAATAGCTGGGGCCAGACGCTTTAGCATAGCCTTACTCACACATGTGAGGCTCTAGTTAGAACCACAGCAACTCTCTTTCTACATCCCTCAGGAAGCTAGTAAGGGAGTCTTCATCCAGTGATATCCATGACTCCAGAAGCAAAGAGAGGGCAACCCCAGGGTGGAGGCACTTCGCAATCCCTGCTTATATCACATCTGCTAAAATTCCCTTTATCATAGCACCACACCTAACTATGAGGGGAGAATAAGTAGACTACATCTTAATGGAAAAAAACTGCAGAAGGGACCTTTCTCCCACCCCATACACCACACAGCTAAAATGGAAGTTCACAATACCTGAGTTGTATGAACCTTGAAGATAAAACCATATTATCTAGAATGTAATAAATAACTCTATCGTGGCTTTTCATTTAGAAAAATAACTTAAGTATAATCTGATGTTAACTTTTAATCTTTGTTATAGGTTCCGTCACCGTGTACAGTAATAAACTTTCAGAAATGGCTGACCTAGAAAATATCAGCAAGCTCACTGGAGTTTGCCCGCAGTCCAATGTGCAATTTGACTACCTCACTGTAAGAGAAAATCTCAGACTCTTTGCTAAGATAAAAGGGATTCCACCACAGGAAGTGGAACAAGAGGTACATAAAGATATCAGAACTAACATATTGGCCAAAATGAGATCTTTAAGTCTATTTGCACTGAGTTTTTATGCTTTCATTAAATTATCTTTGAACAAAGTCATTGTGTGAAAGTTGGACAAAAAATTTAATTTAGGTATTTATCTGAGTTAAATGGTTATCTAACATTTATGTATAATTTATATGCCAACCGTTATCCTTAGCTTTAAATATACTAATTCATTTATTTCCCATAACAAATCTATAAGATAGATGCTATTATTACTCCCATTTTACATATGTGGAAACGGAGGTTTAAGAGAGCAAGTAACTTGACCAGGACTATGCAGCTAGTTAATGTGGAGTGGTATTCAAACCTAGGCAATCTGGCTCAGAATGCATGCTTTTAACCATTACCCTTTCCTGCCTTGTATTTATCCATGTAAAAATAAAAACAGAAAGGAATCTTGTATCATGACACAAATGTTGTCATTTGGTTAGATACAAAGAGTTGTGCTGGAGCTGCAAATGGACAGTATTGAAGACGTCCTTGCTCAAAACTTAAGTGGTGGACAGAAAAGAAAACTCACTTTTGGGATTGCCATTTTAGGAGATCCTCAGGTAAATAAGATGAAATATAGAGATGGATTAAATTTTTTAAAATTAAAACTTTCCATAGTAGTTCCAACCTTTTATTTGCAAAGGACATCTGTGATAAAATGTTTATGATGGGACATCATATATAAGAACAAAATCCTAACCACAATGATCTTTGAAATATAAATAACATGGTTTCAACGTGTTTTCTGGAAGAACTATATACTTTATTGGAAAGATCCTTTTATATACACCCCTCCACTGTAGATTTTCCTATTGGATGAACCAACTGCTGGGTTGGATCCCTTTTCAAGGCATCAAGTGTGGAACTTGCTGAAAGAACGGAAAATGGACCGTGTGATCATTTTCAGTACCCAGTTCATGGATGAGGCTGATATCCTGGCTGGTAAGTACTGGATACTGGTTTCCTTTAGTATCATGATGAAAACTTCATGAGATTTGAGAAATATGGATTATATGCTCAGCAGCTGTATTGTGTAACCTGGTCTCCCAGCTATAACCAGCCATTGGAACAGCTGGCAATGATATGAACTGGCCCAAGAATCTTACTCCCAACCACTTCTATGTATGTCCTAGGATTTTTGTATCCTTTGATTACATGGAGGTACAATCTGCCAGGAAACTCACTTATTTTGAAGGAAGAGTCTATATTCAAAGGCATTGGTCCTTTTACTCAAAATTGAAGGAAATCAACTTAAAATATTCAAACAATTTTGATGTTTGGTCCATTAAAATATATAATGTGATGATTCTCTATATTGAAAGATTTATCTGCAAAACCTCTATGACTGGCTGGAAGGGAAAACAACAGTCTAAAGTAGATAAATAAGATTAAAATGTGTCTATTTCAATGAGTTTTTATGAAGCCCTGTATGTGAAAATATAGAAGCTCCTGAATTAGAGTTGGATCACACAGACAATGACCTATCTTTTGGGGGGAAAGAACGGTCAACTTCTTGAAAAACTTTCTTCTTTGCTTCTTCCCTTTCAGACAGGAAAGTGTTTCTCTCCAAAGGGAAGCTGAAGTGTGCAGGCTCAAGTCTGTTTCTAAAGAAGAAATGGGGGATTGGGTATCATTTAAGGTATGGCCACTTGAGGAGGCTGGAGAATGAGAAATGGGCTAAAGCAAGACATGATGCTTGGAGCAACACATCACAGCACACAAGGAAACCTTTGATTATTATATACAGATGTTGATGTATACACATATACACATATACACAACTAAAAATAAGGAGATGTATAGCCAGATATAGAGAGAGATTAGAGATAGAGTTATACAGATACAGATATATGGAGTATATAGTATGAGTATATGAGTTATTGATTGGCAGATTTTAGAGATTGAGAACATAAGATAAATGGGGGATAATGTGGGTATAAGGACACATATGTAATAACTTAATCAATAAAAATATTTTTAAAAAGGATATAAGATAACAAAAAGTTTAGATAAATATATCCACAACACATTATTTGGTAAGAAAGGTATGTATTAAGGGAACTTTCTCAACTGACATTGTATTTCACAACCTCATCATCTCTCACCCAGGGTTTTAACAGCCTCTTAAGCAGACTCCTTGTTTCTTCTCTTTCCCCTGGCTCCTCCTCTTCCCTCTTGTTCTTTCTCTCCTGTCCATCCTCTTCACTTTATTTTTATTACTATTTTTAGATAGTAACATATTCTGTTATTTATTGATTGATTTGAAAATAAGATGCTTGACGTTATTGTAGTTAAATCTTTTACTTTAGGAGGTCGGCACTATATATAATCTGATTTTTCGACCTCTTATTTCATGTTTGGGTGACCTATTTCTTGCATTAGATTTTATGTGATTTTTCTTTGTCTCCTAGAGACAAGTAATTTTCTTCATGCAATTGGAGACAATGTTAGATAACACAGATCTATTTTTTATCACCAGTTTTCAGTTGAATGATATGTGTGTTCAAGAAAAAATAACATCCATTGTTACAAAGCACATCCCTGATGCCAAATTATCAGCAAAAAGTGAAGGAAAACTTGTCTATACATTGCCCTTGGAAAGAACAAATAAATTTCCAGGTAATGTCTAAGAATACCAAGAAATGAAGTACTTAACTGTTATTCATAAAAATAATATCTATGATAATTACTGTAACTAACGTTTATTAAGAGCATAGTAGTACAATGTGTTCAGGTATTTAAAACATGAGGTAACAATAACTAGACTTTTATCTACAGTGGGAAATATTATATTCTAATTGATACACTATGCTTGTTTTGATTTGCTATTGTGTATGTGTTTTTAGAACTTTATGAGAACCTTGATCTCTCTCCTGACCTGGGAATTGAAAATTATGGTGTTTCATTGACAACCTTGAATGAGGTGTTCCTGAAACTAGAAGGAAAATCAACTGTTGATGAACCAGGTAAATAAAATGCATGAAAATGATCATGTAAGTGTTTTCATAACACCTGGTCCACTATATACTTCAAGAAGACACCATTCCAGGCCCTGGCTGAGCATCTCAGTTGCTTAGATCATCATCTCAATACACCAAGATTGCAGGATGGATCCCTAGTCAGGGTACATACAAAAATCAACCAATGAATGCATAAGTGGAAGAACACCTCTCTCTCTCTCTCTCTCTCTCTCTCTCTCCTTCCCCTTCTCTCTAAAGATCAATAAATAAAAAACTAAAAAAAAAAGAAGACACCATTCCAATAATATCATTCAATAACATGATTACAATATGTGGGGTTTCATGATTAAGGCCATTCTTGGACAAGAATATATTAAGGTGAAGTGCATCGCTGTCACTTTTGTTACCTCCATTGCCAATATTGCCTTGATATTAAAAACGGTCCATTTACTTCTACCCAAGGCTCATAGCCCTCATCGTATCCCATTTTCAAAGAGCAATTTCAGACAAAACACTTATTCTAAATCTCTCTCCAAGCACTTTGAATGTGACATCACGCTGACTGTTGGTCTCCATGGTTTCTGAATTGAGGATTTCTATGTATGATGAGTTGTTTTTCTCCTGATGCTTTCTGTCTTTGGCTTTGAGAATTCAACTATGATGTCTTTAGATGTGGACCTCCTTCTGTCTATCCCCGTGGTCGGCAAACCGTGGCTCGTGAGCCACAGGCGGCTCTTTGGCCCCTTCAGTGTGGCTCTTCCACAAAATACCACGTGTGGGCACGCACATACAGTGCGATTGAAACTTTGTGGCCCATACACAGAAGTCTGTATTTTGTGGAAGAGTCAGTATTTTGCGGAAGAGCCACACTGAAGGGGCCAAAGAGCCGCATGTGGCTCGCGAGCTGCGGTTTGCTGAGCCGCGGTTTGCTTAGCCTCAGTTTGCCGACCACTGGCCTATCCTATGTGGTATTTGTTGAGCTTCCTATACTTGTAGATTAGAGTTTTTCATCACAATTGGGAAGATTTTAGCCACTATTTCTTCAACTATGCTTTCTGTCCCTTTCTCTATATACTAAAGCCCAATTTGTCTAATATTAATACAACTAGAGGCCCGAAGCACAAAATTCGTGCAAGAGTAGGCCTTCACAGCGCTGGCTGCCTCGGCCCTCACAGCCCCGGCTTAGTCCGGAAGGTCATCCAGAAGGTGGACTGGATGATCATTTCACTGTTCAGCCATTTGGTTGATTTGCATATCATGCTTTTATTATTATAGATTGCTTTCATTTTAATGTAATTTATGACTTCAAAATTTTTTTCAACCTGTTTGTGCTTTTCATTTAAAATGCATTTCTTATAAACAGCATATAGTTGAATTTTGCTTATTGAGACATTTTACAACGTTTCTTATAGTGGCATGTTTAGTCCATTATTTTTAATGTGGTTGTTGCTATAGTTAGGTTTAATTTACACTTAACCCCCTAGTTTGTAGCATGTCAACTTGTAACTTGTTTCTCTAGGTGAGCACCTAAGATAATTGTTTCCTTTACCAAGTTTCCAAGTCACACCTAGGTACTATGATGATCTTGCATACTTATCTTAACCTCTTTAACATATTGTCTGTGTCCATATAAGATTTTCTTTCTGGTCCTTTTGTTCAAGTGCCTACAGTATGAGGGGATGTTCTCTGTGATGTCCTCAGTACAACAAATGCCTATAGTAAGCTCAATAAAGTCCATCCGAAGTGGACTTTTTATGCATTACTTATTTTGCGTTTGGCAGGTATTGCCACATCTGGGGAAGTACAAGCAGAAGGAGCTGGAGACACAGAAAGACTTGTTGAGATGGAACAAGTTCTCTCTTCACTTAGTGAGATGAAAGAAACAGTAGGTGGCATGGCTCTGTGGAGACAGCAAATCTGTGCAATTGCAAGGGTCCGCATATTAAAGCTAAAGCATGAAAGAAAATCTCTTTTATCACTGTGAGTATTAGAGTGCCATAGCTTTTGGTCAGTCGGTGCATTAAAAAATATTAAGGCCTAAAAACAAGAAATAACAAACAAAAATAAAAATAAATGTCTGCATCTGCAAAACTGGATAAAGTATAAACCTCAATCTAGTTCATGGGCCTAGTTTTTATCTACTGGCTGACTAGCAAGTGGAATTTATATGATCTTAGAGCCAATTTTAGGGGAAGAGTTCAATGAATGTAAGTTTTTGTGTAATATTTGCTCTCCTTTTTTATTTTGGGTTTTTTGGTGTGTGTTTTTGTTAATCCTCACCTGAGGATATGTTTCTATTGATTTTAGAGAGAATGAAAGGGAGTAGGAGAGAGAGAGAGAGAGAGAGAGAGAGAGAGAGAGAGAGAGAGAGAGAGAGAGAGAGAAACATCAATGTGAGAGAGACACATCAATTGGTTGCCTTCGGCACTCTCCCCAACCAGGGGTCAAGCTTGCAACCGAGGTACATGCCCTTGACCAGAATGGAACCCGGGGCCCTTTAGTCTGCGGGCTGACTCTCTATTAACTGAGTCAAACCTGCTAGACTATTTGCTCTCCTTTAGATTTTCTATGGCAGATGACAGAAACATTGGGATGTAGACCTTATTTCCAGTGTCCATATGCCAATGTCTCATTTTAGTTGTTATCTAGTCATGCTACTGACATAGCCCTAGCAGTCCTGACTCTCCCATTATGTCCTACTTGCTCTAACCTAGATGTCCTAACTTCCCTCCAGCCCTCTTTAGTGATGGTAGCTCACTCTCCATACATACTGCGTGCATAATGGACACCATCCCTGCTCCTTATAATCATGTCACCTCTCAGTAGAACCCTGGTGTCCATGGGTATCAATCAGTACCTTGTCTATGAATATGTGCATTAAGCATCCAAGAAATAGTTGGGTTGGCACATAATAGAATCTCAATAAGTACTTGCTAAATAAATAAGTAATGAGAATTCATTGAGAATATTTGACTAGGAGATGAACTGATTTAACAAAATCTTTAAGCTTAATCTGGCAACACCATATAACGGTGTCTCAAGAGATGCCATTCCTTTAGCAAGAATTGCAACAGGATATTTCATAAAATTGGAAATTAAAAATGAAGAAAGTTTATAAAATAAGATATCATGAAAATATAATAAAACATTTTCAACTTATCTAAAATGGAGAGCACAGGAAAATAAAGAGTAAAAAATAATTGAAAATTTGAGCCTGGAGATTCAAGAAACCATGCAATCATCACAGGACTAAGTGAAGAGGATTGGCCATGAAGAAAATTGAGTATAAAGTGTTGGTGAATGAACAGCACACTGGAATTATAGGAAGAGGCAGAATCTAGACACAGAGTTAAAGGACACATGTCCCATGAAATTGTACGTGGTAGCTCATGGCCAGAGCGGAACGAGAGAAATGAACAAAAGGATAAATCTACAATTTTCATCTCTAATTTAGAGATAGGAAAAGACACGGTCCTCAGTAACTGAGCCAGAAGGCTATATGTTTAGTTTTTGTAATTTCTTGGTCTCATTTGATTAGAATCTGCCTAGACTGTTTTAAAAGGTTAGGACATGACTGTGCATTCACACTGGCTATTTTCTTCTGTGTAGGCTATTGGTTCTAGGAATCGGATTTATTCCTGTTCTGTGGGACTTCATCATCTCAAAAACATATGATGTCAGTTACACATGGGAACTTTCTCCCCATTTATACTTCCTTTCTCCTGGACAACCACCACATGATCCTCTCACTCAATTATTAATCATCAATAATACAGGTAATAATGTGGTGAATAATTCTTCTCCAATACATTCACTGTTCAGAGTATTATTTAGACAACATAAACATGAGAGAAAAAAATGAGCTTTTTGCTTCTTCAGCAGGTGTTCAAAACAATTTATGAAGGTTGGGGATGATGAATATACAAGCCCAAAATAGAGCAGGAATTAAGAAAGTATTTGTCAAGGAAAAATAAATGATCTGATGACATTTTGCAAAATAAAAATGTTTATACCACAAATCACATTTTAATTGCTTAAGATATAATTCAAATGCCATATTTATTCATTTAAAATGTGCAGTTTAATGGCTGTTAGTGTATTCACAGAATCATATAATCTTCAATACAATTCATCTTAGAATGTTGTCATCTCAAAAAGAAATCCCATATCATTAGTAATTATTTTTATTCACTATGCCCCAGCTCTGATCAATCACAAATTTATTTTCTATTTCTATGGATTTGCTACTCTAGACATTTAATATGAGTAGGTCCATACACTATAAGTATGATCTTTTCTGACTGACTTTATTCACTTAGAATGTTTTCAAAGTTCATCTATGTTGTAACACGTGTCAATACTCCATTTTTTAAATTGTTGAATAATGTTCTATTGAATGGATATACCACATTTTATTATTCATCAGAGGGGTGTATTTTGGTTGGTTTTTTCAATAATTTGCAATTATGAATAATGCTGCTATAAACATCCATGTACTAGCTTTTTAAGTGAATGTGATTTTACTCATTTCTTTCGGATATAAACCTAGAGTAGAATTGTTGTATTATATAGTGATTATATTTTATCTTTTAAGGAACTGTCAAATTATTTTTTAAAGTGACTGCATTAATTACATTTGCACTAGCATTTTTTGAGGATTCTAATTTCTATACAAAAAAAAAAATTATTAAAAAATAAATAATATACCCCCAATTGTAGTGCTGAAGTGCTATTTTATGTTCCTAAGTAAAGAAGGCTGTGATGTACCTTACAAAGAAAATATGTGTGTTAGGTTAGTTTTGTGCAGGCATGCATTATAGTGCTGTTGGCTGGGAGATCAAGGTTAATGAATCAACAATGAATATACAGAAACATACATAAAATAAAACAATGCACTGGTTGGTTAAAGACCAGAGGCTTACAGAGACCAGAGGCTAAACCTGCGTTTCCCCTATAAGCACTGATCCAGTATTCACTAATTCAGTATGTAGGATAACTTTCTAGTGACTTTATAGAAGTAAGTACATAACTACTGTGAATAATAAGAATCAACTGTAAATGTCTTGCAAATATCTTATTTCATCCTGTAGATTATCTTTTCACTTTGTTATTGGTATCCTTTGAGGCATAATGTTTTAGTTTTTATGAAGTCCAACTTATTTTTCCCCTTGCCTGTGCTTTTGATGATATATTTAAGTAGGCTTTGCCTAATGCAAGATCATAAACATTTACTCCTGTATTTTCTTCTAAGGCTCTTATACTTTTAGTTCTTACATTTTGAGTCTGTGATGGATTTTGAGTTCATTTTTGTGTGTGGTGTGAGGAAGGGATGCAACTTCAATAGATATCCAGTTATCTTCTTGGGAGGGTCAGGCCACCAAACTTTCCCATTTCCTCCAGCTTCATGTTGCAGAAGCTTGAGACCACCAGAAATAGGGGGCTGAGAGATCTGGAGTTCTCTTCTTACCCATAAGGGAGAAGCTCTAATTTACGGACAAGTGGTTCTCAATCATCCTCATCACAGTTCCTCCCTGGAAGACACTACAGACTGGGTTTGAGTAGGTAGAATCCCTGAATCCTTCTCTAACCCATTCAGAGGGGAGTTTTTGTTATGCTGATCAAGAAAGAGTTGTGAAGGTATAGGCCTTTGTCACAGTTTCTTAGTGTTCTTACACAGATTTAGTAGATTTTTTTTAAAATAAATATTTTTTTCATTTTCTGTATGTCTTTAAGATAATAAAAATGTCATCTTGTTGGGGATTTTTAGTAATTTTTACAAGTTATCGTTGTTTTTCTGGGGAGAAGGTTTATGAAGCTCTTTACATAGCCATTCAACAAGTTGTCTTCCTGTATCAAGAAACATTTTGAAAATCAATTAACAATCTAGTGATAGTGAAGTGAGATTTAGCCAATTTGGTGATTTATTAGTAGAGATTATCTATGTCATTAAAAACATATTGGTATAGCTACTCAATGAAATCTTCTTGGAAAACAATCAATTCCATATGCACCATATAGCAGTGATCATAGTGAATAAATATATTATAAAGTAAAATCCATCAAAGTGAGTAGATTTATAATTTCACAATAGCAGGCATGTTATTATGTGGAAAGATATCCTAACAGTCCATATTACAGTAAATATTACATAAGGTCATTAATTTTCATTTCACTGCACTAGTTGACGTTGATTTTCTTTGTTTTGAGATACCTAATACATTAAACTACAATTTAGGGGCAAGCATTGATGACTTCATACATTCCGTGGAGCTTCAAAACATAGCTTTGGAAGTGGATGCATCTGGAAATAGAAATGGCGTAGACGATACATCTTATAATGGAGCCATCATAGTGTCTGGTCATGACAAGGTATGCTGGTCTCCATTTAAGAAATTATCCTACAGGTGTGCAAAGCTAATAAACTATCAATATACTCCAGCCTTCAATTTAGGAAACAAAATGAAAAACAAATGCAAGGGTACTTCTTTCATTACTTAGTTAATCATAGTCATTAGTATGATAAATAATTCATATATCAGTCACTGTCTACCACACACTGTGTATATTAGCAAAATAAATACCATACAATACCCACTGTCAAGAACATATTTAAATCCGAAAAGTATGTATTTCCTCCCAAGGATTTTCTAATACATATATGCTGAAACTTCTGTTTTAATCTTAAACAATAATAATATTTGATTCTACTGTAAGCCAGACACCTGGTGTCCTGAAAGCCAGATACTGCCTATATACATGTTTCGGCTTATTTAACACAATGTTTGTTTTTGTTCAGATTATTTAACACTGTTTTAAAACATGATTTTTAATTAAAGTATTGAATTTTATTTCTTTAGGGAAAAAATGAAGATCTCTGAGAATTTATAACCTTGCTTTTTCTATTTTAGAATTACACATTTTCATTAGCATGCAATACCAAGAGACTGAATTGCTTCCCAGTTCTTATGGATATTATTAGTAATGGGCTGCTTAGAGTGGTTAAACCATCAGCACATATTCAAACTGGGAAAAGTACGTCTATGCTGGTGAGTATGTACTCTATGACTCCCTCATCAGGCATCTCCTGGGTGGCTGGGATTTTATTTTTATTGAGTAAACATCTGCAGGGCAAATTAGCGTTTGGATTCATGCAAGTTCTGTGGCTTTGGGAAATCAATGTAATTTTTCAGAACTTCGACATTTTTTAAAACTAACAAACTATATTTTCAAAGAGAACGTGAAGAAATGAAAGTCAAATCCTGCAGTCCTGTGACTGGCACTTTCCTTATTCATGCATGTGGGTTTCAAGCCAGAAATCAAGCTTCCAGACTGGATAGATAGTCAAGAGTTTGGTAGCAAAAGGGAAGTAAGGCAGGGTTATACATAGTCTGTTTAATATTTTTTAAATGAATTTCAAATTTGTTCATGCAACTCATTATATTCTTTGCCTTTTCAAAAGAATCTGGATAATCCATTTTTCTTCATGACGCCTTCCTTGCTCTGCCTGTTTTTGTCATCCAGTTGTGCTCCTTACATTGCCATGAGCAGCATGGATGATTATAAGGTAACGATGAGTAACTGAAACTTCCCTTACATGTTGAAGGTAATATAATTACAGGATTTTTCAAGAGGAGATTTATACACGTTTGCTTGAGCAGCCAATTCAGACAAAAATCCTAAGTTGTAAAGATAAAAGGAAGTTTTATAAGTGGAAATATAAATGCATGGATAAATAAATAGAGTCTACAGAATGATTCCAAAATTTATATGAGTACGCAAATAACTGAAAGTAAAATAACTTTGAAAAAGAAAAACAAAATTGGAAGATTTATGCTTCTGACTGCAAGGCTTACTACAGTGATAGTAAATAAAAATGTGTTGTATTAAGTAAGGATAATCATATAAATATATGAAATGAATAGACATTTCAGATATAAACCCACACATATGTCACCAATGGATTTTCAATAAAACTGCCAGGGAATTCAAATGGGGTAAGGTTAGTCTTTTCAGAAAATTGTATGGAAAGAACTTGATACTGTTATGAAAAACATTTTCTCGACACTCAATTCTCACTATACACAAAATTATTTTGAAATGAATCATAGATCTTCTGGTAGGCAAATATTTCTTAGTTGGGACAAAGAAAGCATAGACCATACAAAAAAAAAATGTTATCTTAACCTTCATCAAAGTTCAAACCTTTTCTTCTTTGTAAATCACCAAGAAGCAAATAAAAAGCTGTAGGCTGGGAGAGAAATATTCACAATGCACATACATAACAAAAGATTTGTGTCAACAATATAAAGAGTTCTTACACCCCAGTAATAGAAGATAACCTAATTTCAAAGATGGGCAAAATCTTAAAATAAAACAGATACCTTACCAAAGAAGATATGTAGATGGAAAATGCTTCCATTGAAAGATGGGTAATATCATGTGTAACCCAGAAAATAACCCCAATGAGATTCCTTTACACACCAAATAAAATGAATACATGTTAAAATGACTGACAATACAGAGTTTGTGAGGGTGTGGAGAAACTGGGATTCTCTTGCATAATCCACATTTTCTTGAACCTCAAGTTGAAATAGCATCTGTATTTTTTTCTGTCTCCTGCTCAGAACAAAGTGTGGTCCCAGCTTCGCATTTCCGGGCTCTTCCCTTCCGCTTACTGGCTTGGGCAGGCGTTGGTGGACGTCCCACTATACTGGCTGATGTTCCTTCTAATATATTTGTTGGACATTATTTTAAGCCCCGGAGATTCCATAATTGCATTTGTAAATCCGGTTATGTATGTAAGTTACAACATTCATCGAATAAATTATCATTGTATGACATGGTTAGAAACGTTGAAAATGCAAACTGTTTTCATTGATAGTCAAATGGTCATAAATTATTAATAACTATAAGACCTGGTGCTGTGCCGATGTTTTGAATCTTAAATGTTTTCTTAGATTACATTTGTCTTTAACTAAAATGCAGCACTTCTGTTTATTTCAGATCCCATGTGCTGTTTGTTCTGTACCATCCCTTGTTTTCTTTACGTATGTAATTTCGTTCATTTTTCGCAAGGGGAGAAAAAATAGTGGCATTTGGTCTTTGGTCTACTTTGTTGTAAGTATGTTTCTTTTGAACACGTATTTTATACATGTAATGTATGATTCTGAGACAGTAGTTTAAATTTTCCCTTGGTAAAATACGTTAAGATGAGAGTCTAACATATTTAAAGTTTTCTGCCTTAGATATGGATCCTCTTCAAAATCTGCCTCTTTTCCTCTCCCTATTTCTACCCTGTCTTTCTTGAAAAGTGGCCACATTTTTTCTCAGCATAAAATATTTAACAGAAGGAAACCTGGAAACCATCTGTATTTTCTTTTTACTGAAAAGGAAATAACCCCAAAGTTCTCCGTGACGCTATGCAAATACTGTAAACATCTTAGTTAAAACTAGAAGCAACTTCTCCAACTCTCTACTAAGAATTCCATAAAGCGACACTTAATTTATCTAAATTAGGAGGAAAAATATATGTAATCTATAAGCATCTATTCTAATTTCCTGTCGTCAACAGTTTTAACACTGAAAGAGTGCTCAATGTTAAATAGATGAATAAACAGCCAATTCCTAAAACATTAATAAAGCAAAAGTTACCGAGATACCATCCATCTTTAAAAGTCTAACACAACCACCCTATCTGGTTTGGCTCAGTGAATAGAGCGTTGGCCTGCAGACTGAAGGGTCCTAGGTTCCATTCTGGTCAAGGGCACATGCCCAGGTTATGGGGGTGTGCAGGAAGCAGCCAATCAGTGATTCTCTCTCATTGTTGATGTTTCTATCTCTCTCTCCCTGTCCCTTTCTCTCTGAAATATATATATATATATATATATATATATATATATATATATATATATATATATATTCTAACACAACTAAGTAATAAAGAGGTCTATGAAAACCAGAAAAGGGAGACAGTCATTCATAAAAATGAGAACAGAGATTTCCTTCAGGAAGTGAAACCTGAGGAAGAGTAAGATTTCAACTTTTGGAGAAGAATGATGATACAAATCGAAAAGAGTGGAGGAACAGAAACCCAAAGGGCAGAGTGTCTATACTAGAATAAGTCCTAACTACTGGTAATAATCTGAAATGAATATGGGTAGAAAACAGGCTGCAGCCTGAGTCTGTCCTAGTTGTGGTGAACATAATGGTTGGAACCATGACTGGCCTTAAATGATGGGCTCAAGAATTTATTCTACAGCCCTAGCCAGGTAGCTCTGTTGGTTAGACCATCATCCAATATGCCCAGGTTGTGGGTTTGATACCCAGTCAGGACACATACAAAAATCAACCAATGAATGGGTGGAACAACAAATTAATGTTTCCCTCTCTCACTCACTCTCATGGAAGCTAATAATTCAGAAAAGAAATATGATCACAGACACACTTTTAGGAAGAATATTCTGGAAGCCATAGAAATGATGGTTTGTAACAGAGAGAAATTAGAAGTACAGAAACTTTTTTTAAAGTATATTTTATTGATTTTTTACAGAGTGGAAGGGAGAGACATAGAGAGTTTGAAACATCAATGAGAGAGAAACATCGATCAGCCGCCTCCTGCACACTCCCTATTGGGTATGTGCCCGCAACCAAGGTACATGCCCTTAACTGGAATCGAACCTGGGACCCTTGAGTCCTCAGGCTGACGCTCTATCCACTGAGCCAAACCGGTCAGGGCAGTACAGAAACTTTTAGGAAGGCATTACAGTAGTTTAGAAGAAAAAGTCTAAGAGGGTCAGATGTATGTATAACTCTCTCTTCTCCTGAATTTTGTATTTTAGTACTAGTACTAAGCCACTCCAGGTTTTTAAATGCTTATATTTCTCCATTGGTATAGTTAACATGTATCCTTTTATTGTTGCTTTATTCCTATTAGATATCTTTTTTTAAATATATGTTTTTATTGCTTTTAGAGGGGAAGGGATAGGAGAGAGAGATTTAGAAACATCAATGATGAGAGAGAATCATTGAGTGCCCAAGAGTGCCTCCTGCACACCCCATACTGGGGATCATGCCAGCAACCTAGACATATGCCAAGAATGGGAATTGAACCTCCTGGTTCATAGGTCAGATGATCAACCACTGAGCGACACTGGCTGGGGATTCCTATTAGATATCAATTTCAATTTTTACCTATGATTATTGCTTATATATCATTCTGAATTTTATCTCCCAAAATGATATACACTACCTTTTTTCCTTTTCTGTATTTAAAATGCTCTCCATATTAGATCCTAGATTTACCCAGTAAGGTCTCATTCATGATCCTCCGGGCCAAAGGAATGTGGCTAAGTTGTCAAGAGAAAATATCAATGCATATCCGCTGATTTCAGCTTGGTTTTCGGGGTTGGAGTGGAAGTTAGGAATATCTCCAAGATGAACCATCTTAATTTGGAGCATCTATTGATGTTCAGAGTGGTTAATATGCTTTGTTTTTCTTTTTAGATCGCCCTTTTCTGTGTGGCCATAATTATAGTGGCATCCCATGGACATAGTTTACTGTTTTTCATCAACTTTTTAGTACCACAGACCACAGTAGTTGGCTGTATGGCCTTATCTTTGCATGTAAGTAATGCCACCATCTGCTCCAGTGTCCTGGAACTCACAACCAATGGTGAAAGCTTTGCTTAGGGCTGGGATTCTGCAACATGTTTAGTATGTATGAAATTTGAAGATTTCTACTTCATGCTTCCAACTGAATCTCTCTCCAGATAGGACAATATACTCCAGCTGAACTGTAATAGAATAGTTGACCCTAGTTGATGGGTGGGGAGGAAGAATAAATAGCAATAATGGGATTGAGTATAAAGCAGGCTTTATACTCAATCAGGGCTTTATACTCTCCTGGGCATGCTCAGCTCTAGAAGTAGGCAAATGAAATGTCTCTAATCTTAGGGATTTCAGGATTCTAGAGAAGCTCTCAATCCTTTTTTTTCTAGCTGACTGATACCTATACTTCTACCTATGAAAGGAAAGTACAGTATGTGAGTTAAGGGGTATCCATAGGGAAGAGAAAGGAAAGAAAGGGGACTTATAAAAGGGGCAGTAAGCACCAGCAGGTGTGTGAAGGTCTGTGTGATAAAGGTTAAATCTTGCCTCTCTCTCAATGTGTGAGGAGGCTAGCACAACAGACCCCAAGATTCTCTCACCAGGTAATGAATAACTGCTCAATCCTATTGCTTCAAATAAAAGCACAATGGCTCCTAAACCTTGGGAGGAAGGAAGACAGCTCCTCACTACACATTGTGGAATGGACCCTTAGCCAATACTCTTCAGGGGGTATGCCAGTAGGGTTGTTCAATGGGCGAATTCACATTATTATGGCAAAAACCCACAAAATGAAAATTTTCTTCTTTAACCATTGTCTTTCTTTTTGCAGCATGGGATGCCTTTTTCCTGTATTCTGAATATGATGGAGAGTCCTTTGTGATATTCCTAATTGTAAGAACATATTCTTCTTTAAAATTTATCATGTATTTTACTAACTAAACTAGTTTAATTCTGTAAACACAGTGAAACTTTTTATTAATGTGGATATATAGGTATTTGTAGCCCATAGAGATAAAATACTTGTAAAAATAGAATATTTTTTATAAAAATCAACTAACCAGATAATATGCTTCCCAATTTTTAAGGACACTGTATAACTATTAGAGGATATTATTTAAAGTAATGGTATCACACAGTTATATTTGTTACCTATGTTTCTGTAAACAAGATTAAGAATAAATTTACTAGTTCCACAGTTTGACAAATAGATTATTGAAAATTGATAATGTTTTTGCCAAATGCATCTTTATAGAAATCCAATTATTCCTAACTCACTTTTCATGTGAAATGATTTTCTTTTAGTGTTTCTAGTTATGCATCTCTTTATTCCTAGACTTTCCTTCAACTTATGGTCTTGATTTTTATTCTTCGATGTCTGGAATGGAAGTTTGGAAAGACATCAATGAGAAAGGATCCCTTATTTCGGTCTGGAAAAATGAAATTTGATTCTTTTATTTCAGTGATCACTGTTTTAAAATAATTTTATGCACAAATTAGTCCATTAACAAAGAAATGCTAAGAACTAGAATGGGCTGGGGTAGGAACCATGTGTCAATACAAATAATAGAGATATAGGGACCTAAATCAAAGATTATAAATAGTGGAGCAAACAGACCTAAAACATTGAATATTAAAGACTCTGTCTGACACTGTGCAGTGGAACACTAGGGAAAGTTACATCTTGCTCATTCAGTTTAAATAGCACTTAATGTGAATAGATTGACAGTGACGATGGAATGCTGTCAGTCCAGAATGGAAGAACAGAATGATCAATAGGTCAAAGACAGAAGTAGCTCTTCTCCTGTGGTAGTGAGAAGTCCAACTGGTGGACCATAGACTGGTTCAGTTATTCATGGCACTTCAAAGCTGAGACTGTTCCCATCATTCAATGATGCAACCATAAGCATCTTATTCCCCATCAGTTTCATTGATAACTCTTACACATAGTTGCATGGGACACTTCCAAGATACAAGAAGACTTTTAAGAAGTCCTCTAAGATCATTATGGGACATTTAAGTTGAAGGAAGAGAGAATAGAAGGAAGAGAGTATGAGGGACGGAGTTAGAATGGAAGAAAAATAGTGAATCTGACACATATTCCAAAGAAATGCCTAACCTTAATAGGAGATCAAGCATCCTATTTGCATTTGGACAGGGGGTGGAGATTTCACTGGATTGAAGAGAGATCATGATGGGTTATTAATCACCCAGTCTACTCAAGTATAAGATTTAAAGAATGCAGTGTTTTTGATACGAGGATAAGAAACCGAAATCAATTATTAATGGATGGTTTGACTGCAGAATTTCTCCAAGAAGCAGTGATGTACACCAAAATCCAGAGGAGCCCGAGGGGGAGGATGAAGATGTTGAGATGGAAAGAGTGAGAACAGCAAATGCCTTGAATTCCACAAACTTTGATGAGGTAAAAACATACAAAGTAGTTATTTCAACAAGTAACACAAACGAAGAAAATCAGAAAGCATCTAATTCTCAAATGATTTTATATTTCTTTAATTCATACAAATGAGGATCATAACTTTATTTTAGCAGGTAGTCATTTTTACATCTAAATGAGCACAGATTAAAAAGTCATTTTAACTCCCTTTGTCTTTCATAGAAAATAAATTTTTAAAAATGGAGTGAAATTGAAATTTCTGAAGCCAAGAAAGAATTTGTGAATTTTAGAAACTGAGCAGAGTGACCCCAATCACTGCTTCTTGGAGAAGGGACACTGTAAAAATGCAGGGCAAAGTCGAGTCCACAGTGTGTTGTTTGTCCTTTGAGGCTGATTTGGTGCTTCTCCAAGTCTCTTTGCTTCTGTTCTGAGAGATGGGCTGGCTGCATAAAATAATGTGTTCCTGCGTGAGTGCCCTTGTAGGAGAGGGAAACATAAGTGCTAAGATAGGAGAATGGCCCATAAACCTGTCATCTAGTAGGAAGTCTTCTTGGAGGCATGGCTTGTGCAGTCAGGGGCCAGCCCCCTGGGAGGATAAAGCTTGTTCGAGGTCAATAAAGAGTCTTAAGGTCTGACATGATGTACTTGTCATTTACAGAAACCAGCCATCATTGCCAGCTGTCTACGCAAGGAGTACACAGTGAGGAGGAAACACTGCTTTTCCAAGAAGAAGAAGAAAATCGCCACAAGGAATGTCTCTTTCTGTGTCAGAAAAGGTTGGACACGGAGGCTCTCCCACTCCTGGCTCGGAGCCCTCCTGCGTGCTTTGTGGTTCCTGATGAGAATCATTCTGTGACCACCTCTTGGTTCGCACACAGACCCATCAGCGGGGTGACCTTGACAGCTCCTTTTACATGGCTCATTCCTAGAGAAATTAACTAAGTCAGGCCCATGGATAAGTACTTAGTCAGATGGACATGGAAACCATAAGCACTCTACTGAAATAAACCATTGAAACCCCAAAACGATTAATTTCCTAACGTTATTATTTTTCACAAGAAAACAAAAAGAATGTGCCAGCATGTTCTGAAGGCTTGACCGGCAGATGGTACTTGACTTCATTTTGTGACACCATTGCACAGTTCTTAGGCACAGGAGATGTGTGGTCTCATACACCTAGCTTCCAAGAGTGACTTTGTCACTTCCCATCAGTGGGACTTTGAGCAACTAACCTCATCCCTAAGAGCTTTCGTTCCCAAATATGTAAGAAAGGGTTATGATAGCCTCTCGGGGGGTGCAGGGGTAGGACAATTGAATGAGACATTACCTACAAATCACATAGAACACTTGTCACAGTGAGACTTCAGACTATGTTTTATTCTTAATTTTATTATTAAAATCAATTTGTACTAAATGTGACCTTTTTCTTTTTCCAGGTGAGGTTTTAGGATTACTAGGACACAATGGAGCTGGTAAAAGTACGTCCATTAAAGTGATAACTGGAGACACCAAACTAACTGCTGGACAGGTAGGTGAATCGCGTGGAAAATACATTACCTAGTGGTGCTCAAGATAAATTTTATAAGATGTCAAAATGGTATACCCAGCAAATCTCACTGATTCATTAGATGAATGAAGTGATTAATGTGACTGAATACACTTTACAAATTACCACATTAACACACAACAAAATTAATCACTGAAAGGGAATAATTATTCATGCCTGTAAAGGCAATGAGTGGAAATGGCCAATCTCAGAATTTATACAAATTCTATTTATACTACCATAAAACACTTTGATTTGCACTTTCAATGAGCACTGTCCTCCTATTATGAATTAAAATGTGTTTTTTTTAAAAAAAAAAAAACAACAACTTTATTTAGTGATCATTGTTATTTACAAGTGCTTAGTTACTGTAACACATATTTTGGTAGAAATACAGTATCTTGGGTGAGTGTTTTCAAGGAGTGGCTCCAAGTTGAGCAATAGGGATATGAAATTGACAGAATTATCCATGCGATTCAACTGCATAGAAGGCCAGGCAAAGAAAGAGAGCTGAATTTATCAAAGAAACAAAATGAGTTACAGAGAAAACTAAAATTCTATGTCAGGAGATAGGTAACCTTAAGAGCTCCTCTGAAAGGTATATTGGGGGTGGGAGGCGTGGAGAACAGAGTCCTAAGACAGAGGTCTGTGCACCTCCACCATGGGAAAGGGGCTGGTGGTCACGCCCACCAAGGGGAAGACCACCAAGAACGTGATTGGCAGGTGTCCCAGGATAGAGGAAGGAGGAAACATATTCACAGTTGCTCTGAAGCTGAGGTGAGAGCAGGTGTATGTGAAAGGTGCCTCTGGGTGATGTTGGTGGCTCGGCCGAGCCTATCGGGAGTGCTTAGTTCAGTGGAGAGCACCACCTTGAAATAAAATGAATATTTTATTTCTCCATAAGCATGGGCAAAAAAAGAGGTAATCTTGGAATGAAATATTTCTAAAGGTTACGTGAGATCTGAATTATAAACCCAACCACCATTTGGGTGTCATGAAACCAGCTTGAATCAGATCAGTCAGTGAGATCCTTATAAAAGGTCATTGTCCTGCTGAAATGCATTCAGTGACTCTCTCTGCGCTGTGGCTGGAAGGACACCTCTCCTCGCTGGCCAGGATCTGATTCCCACAACCCTCCTATCACATCTCTCTCTTCTCCCCTGGACCACTCGGCTCCAGATCCCCTACTGTAGCCTGGGGTCTGAGAGCACATTGAACACCATCCCTCCACAGGGCTTTGCTCTACCCCAAGCTCCTGGCCTTTTCCAGGGCAGGCGCCCTGTCACCCTTCTGCTGCAATGGTCCCTCAGCAGGCAGGCTTTCTGGGATCGCCCTACCTAAAGTCACTTGCCCAGAATATCTGTTTGTTGCCAGGTATTTACACTCTGACAACCTTCTTCCAATGCAAAATGGTTGCAGGTGATTCGAGTCAATGAGATCGGAGAATGTCTCTGGTTTTTCTAGGTTTGTAAGGAGAAAGATGTGATGGGAACACAGAGGAGCAATGCAAGCCATAGGGTCTGAGAGGGAAGTTTTCTCTGCAGGTGCTACTGAAAGGCAGCAGCGAAGGGGACCCTCTGGGGTTCCTGGGGTACTGTCCTCAGGAGAAGGGGCTGTGGCCCAACCTGACAGTGAGAGAGCACCTGGACGTGTTCGCTGCGGTGAGAGGGCTGAGGAAAGCAGATGCCACGGTCACCATCACACGGTACAAGGGGGGAGAGGGCGGTGGGGGGTTGGGGGGGACACACCTGAGAGGTCCAGGAAGACAGCTGGAGTGACAGCCTTCACAGGAAACTCAAGGCTTCCCAGGAGACTCAACGCTGACCGAGACCCCAATGGGGAGATTTGCGATCACAAACTGGTTTCCCCGATTTTAACATGTTATTTTCTTTTCTCATCTTAAATATGGAAAGAAGTATGTATTGGCAAATTTATCAAAAATACTAAAATTGAAGTGTAAGCTATCATAGGACAGCTATTTGCATGTCATAAAATGGCTTCAAATCTTATAAAAGGAAAAACTAATTTGGGGGGAGATGTGTCAAACCAGTCCAATGCAACGTGGCCCAGCGTCTATGTCAGAACCGCATTTCGGAGCTCGTTCCCCACCTGGTCCTGCGAGGCTCGCTCTCCCACCAAGTGTCCTGGGTCTCGGAAGCCTGTAGCCCCACTGTGTTTGCTTCAGGTTGGTGGAGGCGCTCAGGCTGCAGGAGGAGCAGAAGCGCCCCGTGAAGGCCTTGTCAGAGGGAATCAAGAGAAAGGTAGGGTTGGGGCTGGGGTTACTCCGCGAGGCCCACAGATCCCAGATCCGTACCAGATGCGCTGTCCCCTTTCTTCCAGCTGTGCTTCGCGCTGAGCATCCTGGGAAACCCATCGGTGGTGCTGCTGGATGAGCCGTCCACGGGCATGGACCCCGCGGGGCAGCAGCAGATGTGGTGAGGGGCGCCGCCCGGTCAGGGCCAGCGTGGACGCCTGGCAGGGAATCTGTGAAGTGTTTACCTCCTGTGAACATTGTCCCTTAAGCTGTTTTGATTTGTTTTTTACATTCATCAAGTTTTTAATGTGTGAAATCTGAATTCTGTCGGGGACATATACCTACTTATATCAGTTTCTGAGGTCAAAGTTGTGGCTACTCACTTTTATTTTTTAAATCAATATATTTGTATTGATTTCCGAGAGGAAGGGAGAGGGAGAGAGAGATACAAACAAAAATGATGAGTGAGAATCATTGATCGGCTGCCTCCTGCACACCCCACACTGAATATGGAGCCCCCAAACCAAGCATATGTCCTGGTTCATAGGTCAACCCTCAACCACTGAGCCATGCCAGTCGGTTTGGCTACTCACTTTTAAATTCACAGTTCCAAGCAGCTGAGCCAGCTCTCTGTACCCAATGAGATAAGTTCATCATCACTAATTCCATCATAGTAGTTCTCATGTGCTGTTACGAGTTTTTCAGTCTCCATTAGATTGGGGTTCCGTGAGAGCAGAGATGTTCATGCTCTCTTTGCCTTGAAATAAACACCCAATTCTTTGCTAAATGAGTAATGAACAATATTTCTATTCAAATAGTGTGTATTTATCCATAATCACTAAGCGTTCACCTCTAAATATTCTATAATCTGATTTTAAATCCTCAAATTTAAAAGGAAACTTATCCAAGGCTTTGACTTACTTTGTGCGAAATCATTTTTAAAATGTGTAGCTTCGGACCATTTATTATAAAAAGCTGGTACTCGTATACATAACATGATAAGAACTTTTTTCATCATATATGTTCACTTTTTTTAGCTTGGCCTTCTAGTGAACCTTCAGCTTCATTGAAGGGATCGTCTAGGGGAGTTAAAAGCATAATTCACTGATGCGCATCTCTTCTTTTTCCTTTATTGGCAGTAGAGCTTACCCCTATGTGAATTCCGTTTCCCATTTTGTTATGTTGGGTTCAAACCCCTGTGGAATAGCCACCACTGAAGGCAGATGTTGGTAGACTTTGAAAGTGTTGTTTGACTTGAGGCTCCACATACTTCGTGGCTTGTAAAACACAATGGCCTGGCCCATCCAGCATAGCTCAGTGGTTGAGCATCGACCTATGAACTAGGAGGTTACAGTTAGATTCCCTGCGGGGGCACATGCCTGGGTAGCGGGCTCGATCCCTGGGGTGGGGCATGCTGGAGGCAGCCAATCCATGATTCTCTCTTATCAGTGATGTGTCTATCTCTCTCTCCTTCTCCCTTCCTCTCTGAAATCAAGAAATACATATTTTTTTAAAATAAACAAAACACAATAGACTGCAAATCCTGAAGCAGCAATGGTCCAACTGCCACCCCTGTAGCGGCTGTAACTCCAGCTCAGCTCCCCTTTTTCCCCCGCCTCCCCGAGAGATTAGTTCATCCCAGCCCAGAGGCCGCGGCCACCAACTCCATGCATCTACAGAAAGCAAGGCAGCCACCCCTCCTGTACACTGTCTCTTAATACAAAATAAAAACAACCCTGAATATCATTTGTATAGCCCAGTGATGGCGAACCTATGAACTCATATTTTTGGTTGATTTTTCTTTGTTAAATGGAATTAAATATATAAAATAAATATAAAAAATATAAATCTTTGTTTTACTATGGTTGCAAATATCAAAAAATTTCTATATGTGACATGGCTCCAGAGTTAAGTTAGGGTTTTTCAAAGTGTTGACACACTGAGCTCAAAAGGTTCGCCATCACTGGAGCAAATACTTTGCAAACACATCTTACTATTTCTCATTAAAGGAAAAATAATCATAGTCAGGGCCCAAACAGACTCACTCTGAGTATTGTAATTGCTCAATTGATCTTTTCAGTAGCTATGGTGCATCTGTGTGACACAATAGACACAATCTCCCCGTGTCCCACACTTCTCGTGACAATGGTAATTCACGTTAGGATTCACAGGTGGGGGAGAGGGCGGGGTTCTGGATGTCAATGTGTATGCTTCCATGCATATCTTTTCTTTCCATTCAGGCAGGCGATCAGGGCCAGCTTTAACAACACCGAGAGGGGCGCCCTCCTGACCACCCATTACATGGCCGAGGCAGAGGCCGTGTGTGACCGAGTGGCCATCATGGTGTCTGGGAGGCTGAGGTGGGTGTCCGCCCAAGCCCGCACTTGACCACCAGCTGCATGGCTGGCAGAGTTTGTCGGTGGGCAGAGAGGTCATTGTGAAAAACTGGAACCACCTGACCAGGGTCTGATGGCCAAGTCCTGAGACAGTGCTAGCAGCAAATCCCAAGCCTCAAACATTGCATCTTCCTCTTCTCCCTCCTCCTCTTCCCTCCAGATGTATCGGTTCCATCCAGCACCTGAAGAGCAAATTTGGCAAGGATTACCTGCTGGAGATGAAGGTGAAGACCCTCGCCCACACGGAGCCCCTGCACAGCGAAATCCTGAGGCTTTTCCCCCAGGCAGCTCGGCAGGAAAGGTAAGGGTGGTGGCTGGCTTTCATCTGCTATCAGATGTCAGTTTTTCCTTGTCAGGTTCATAGAGCTGTGGTCAGGCAAGTCCACATGTAGCCCAAAAGGAAACCCTAAAAGGAATAAATGATTTGTTGGACACTGCTGAAAGTAAACGAGAGAAGAGGTGATGTTGTGTGTATGGTCCTACTGTGTGCCAGGTATTGTCCTTGCGCTATCTTATTTAATCCTCCCAGGGACTTTCTAAAGTAGACTCTGGTATTCCAGTGAGAAAGGAGATGATTGCAAAAACACATTGTAAGAGTCTGGCCTTTACAAGGACCTTATTCCATGAAAATTGGTAGATTGGTTAGGTCACATGACAGCTAATAAGTGGCAAAGCAGAGATGTAAAACTGTTTCATTTCAAATCTATTACTATTTCCAGTGTCATTTCAAATCTATTAATATTTCCAGAGTCTGGTCATGGAACAGTCCTCATACAAGTAATACACTAATAAAATATAAAGATTAACATTAGGGTCATTTTTTTAACAACTGCAACTTAAATGCAGAAGACGGATAATTTAAGAGTTGGGGAAAAGTAGTAAAGAGAAATAAGTCATAAAGACAAGGCCAGAAAATATATTTCTACAGTGGAGTATAAATATAAAGCCAATGTTATAACTCATCGTGCAGCCCACGACTAAATAGAAATATGTCATAGGGGTGCAGGGAATGAGCAAAATGGATGAGAAAGGTTGCTCCATAAATATGTGAAATAGCATCTTTAGGAAATGAAATCTGAATCTTCCTGATTTTCAAATGATGGAAAGACCAATTTATCTGAGAAACTAATTATTTTTAAAATGGTTGCTGGACATTATTTGGAGCTTGGATTCCTAGAGATTTATGGTTTCCTAGTCAGAGACTCAGTTATGCTGTCCTGTGTTAGGAAAGCAGTTTGAGTAGGAAGGGGAAGGTAGGGTAGCTAGAAATGCTCTGGAGAACAGACTTAGACTTCCGCCTGAGTTGGAAACGTGGAGAAACTGCATGGTGTCAGGACCCGGTTGGAGGATGAAGCCGAGGAGTAAGTGTTCAGCCTAGAAAGTGAGGTGGGCCCTAGCCAGTTTGACTCAGTGGATAGAGCATCAGCCCAGTTGGATTCTAGTCAAGAGCACATAGTTCAGTTGCAGGTTGCAGGCTCGATCCCCGGACCTGGGGGAGGCAACCAATCGATGCGTCTCTCTCACATCAGTGTTTCACTCTGTGTGTCTCTCCCCTTCCCATCCACTCTCTCTAAAAATCAATGGAAAAATATCCTCTGGTGAGGATTAACAAAAAAAAGGTGAGGTGGAAGGTGACTTTGGGAAGTCTGGAAATGTGATTTGCGTTGTACCTACTCATCCCCATCTGAGGGGCCAAGGGCACTAACCTACCTGTAGGATTCCGATCCCCAGTTTTCCTTGTGAACTGCCTCTTTTTTATTAGTATGGCTTCACCCTCGGCATTTCGCCTACCCCAAACCACACTTACAGAAATGAAGTCCAGAGAGAAGTCTGAGTCAGTTCATGTCCATCGCGGGTGGTATCAGCGTCTCTCCCCCCTCCTTGCCTCCCAGGTACTCGTCTCTCATGGTCTACAAGTTGCCGGTGGAAGATGTGCGACCTTTAGGCCAAGCTTTCTTCAAATTAGAGAGGGGTAAGAGTGATAGGCTTTTAAATAAGAGCCTGAAAGCAGATAATTTCAAATCACAAAATAATCCATCTCCATGACAAACATGAAATGTGATATAATGTGTTAAACTCAAATTGAATATTAGAAGCACAATATCAAAAAAGTACAGACATTCTGTGTGTGTATGTGGGGATGGGGAAATGGGAGTGATTTTTACTCTTCTGGGCTTTTTCCATATCTTTTTGTGTGTATATATATATTGGTATAAGTTAAGTGAAAACTCAATCATACATGCATTTATACTGTCAAAAAAAGAAGAAGAATATTGTCTTTTGGCATATTGGTGCTTACATGTTTAAAACTAAATTTTATGTGGACTTGCATATTATTTTTTGCCTTGGACTATATATTAAGAAACTTACCTCTTGTCTGGTTACTAAGATGATTTTCTTGTGTCTGTTGTGCTATAAAACTAACTACACTGCATCTGTCATCGCCAGGCTCATGTGGTCCTTGCCATCTGAGCCCATTAACTCTGTGACTCTGCTCTGTGTTAGCTGGACCTCCCTCTCCATCCATATTCTTTCATTGTCACTGCCCAGGATAACTTCGCTTGCTTGTCACCTTCCCTGAGGAAGAGATTCGAGTCTCCTGGTTCTAGGAGACTCTTCTTCCTCCTGCTAATAGCATCCATGGTCACAGTAATGCTTCTTTCCATTCTCTGAGCTGAGCACCCCAGCGTTCTGAGCATCCCCAGACTGGCACTGTGGCCAGTACCAGCCTGGTATCTTTGGTGGTATATTTCCAATCTGGTACTGTTGGTGGCATATTTCCAGCCTTCTGGGCTCTTATTGGGGCTCTTACTACCCTTCCCAGTCCATTTTGGTCAAGGAGAAGGGTTTCCTACTTGGTTTGGGTCAAGCAAACTGCATGGACGGAAAGAGGTCCATGAGGATTACCTGCTTCTGAGAAAACCACAGGCATCTTTCTCTATAATCTTCTGATGCAACCCTTTTCCAAATGTGTCTGCCTTCCACCTCTTCCTGTGCTGGATGTGCAGAAACCCCAGCTCACCTGCAGGAAAGGAAGCCTTCTCGGCACCATTTCCTCCCTTAAGTAGACATCTCAGAAACTGTGCGACATAACACCTTTTCTCCAAACTTATGTGAATGCATTGCTGTTCTTTTGGCTGAATGCTGTACTTAAACCATCCTAACGGTTCTTGTCTTCACCTTTTCATTTAATATTTTTAAAAAATTGTTATTTGTATTCTGTGCTGACTTCTAAGGCCATCTGGATATAAAAACATATAAACCACTAACTTACATCCATCATTGTGCAGTTAAACAGAGCTTTGACCTGGAGGAGTACAGCCTGTCACAGTCCACCCTGGAACAGGTGGGTCAGTTTTAGTGATCTTACATCATCCATGGAATAGAACTGTACAATAAGTACATACGCTTTTCACTCTCTTGGGGCTACAGGAAACAGTATGACATCCCTGTCTCTCTATTTCTTATCCCCTTTCAGGTCTTCCTGGAGCTCTCCAAGGAGCAGGAGTTGGAGAATTTTGTTGATGAACTTCAACCCTCCATGAAACGGAAGCTCCTCCCACAGGAAGAGCTTTGAAGCCCCAAATACTCTATGTTTTCATTCAAGTCTGTGGTTGTTCTTTAAGACATTTATTTTGATAGCATCACTGTTTGTATTTAGAACCTATATTGTGAACACTGACATGGTTTTTGGTGTGGTGGAGAGGAGGAGTGAGTGCTGGGCAAATGCAGTGACAACAGGGACAGAGGCACTCGACTGAGCCCACCTCCCAGTCCCAGTCTACGTGTGTCTGCAGGTCACCCTGATCCTATTTTTCAGTCTAATGCTGAATAAATAAATTTATATTTCTGAATATGATATATGAATTTTAATTTTTTTATCAAAAACTTAAAATCCTTTTTTTGCTAACCCAAACTGAGAAATCCATATATTTAGTCTTCAGAAAGTGTGATACTTTATAAAGCTGATATTTTAATAATAATTTAAGTGAGCATGTCAAAAAGTATTATACTTACTGAAAAATATTTTAATATATATTTTATGGCTAAAAATATGAAAACATTCATTGGTGATAAAATCTGATAACAATATATTTGATAATATTTCCACTGGTTACACTGTCAGTCATACAGACATCTGGATAACTGAAAATTTGCTATTAGGAATGTATTATACTTTTTTATTTTTATAAACTAACAGATTTTGATTTTCATCGTATTTTTAAAGCTTTGCTAAAGATGCTTCTATTATAACTGATCTTTTATGGACATCTGCCACTTCATCTCAGAAAGTTGATAAATATAATAGGTCCAATGATCAAGTTGGTGGAAAATATAAAATAAATCTCATATATATAATTATGCAATGTCTTCTCTTTCATGTGTCTTTTTCTCCACTCTTGGGCCTCCAATTTACAAGTTCATTGCAATCCAATGGAAAATGATTTCTAATACAAGAGCAAGTTTGCTGCTTAAATCAATGTGCTACCAAAATCTACATGAAGGAGAGACCATACCATGATTAAGGAAGTAAAAAGTGGTGGCAAGCAGAGCTGTTTTCTAGATAAATCATCTCAAACTACCGGATGTGATGACTATGTATAAAACGTAAGATTTTCTGAGTGGAGATGATCCTCTGAGCTTTCTACCAGTGCTTTCATGTCTTTTCTTCCCTTGAGGAAAATTCTGCTCTGGAGAGCTCCTGTCCCCAACTGCCTTCCCAGGCTCTTATGTGAGGTCTGTTTATTCATCTTGTGCTAGTATGAAAAAAAATGAATGGAACTCAGTTCTTACTGTCAGTGAATGCTGCCGTGTGGCACAGTGACTTAGAGAGTGTCCTAAATTTAATCTTGGATCAACCATCTACTCTCTCTGCAGAACTTGTTTCCTCATCTGTAAAATAAAGATCTTGGTCTCCTTACCCACAGCAGAGGGTTACCATGACAACCAAAAGAGACAAAGGTAACAACAACACCAAACTGCTGCCTGGCTGTTACCAGTGCCCAGGGATTCAAAGAAGCTCTGCATACCCTTACCAGCTCCCTTCTTGTTCCTATTCCCTCACATCTCAAGGACACATCAAAATGAACCTGTTTTCACCTCATTCCCCAAGGGCCAGAGGAGGTATCTGGAAATAGCACACTGAACAGACTTCTTTTAATGGAGGATTTTTATTTCCAAAGAAATCACACAAACTAGGTCAGTGGGAGAGATATCCTGGGACAAGCAGAATTTTAGCACTGAAGTGGCTTTTTATTTAACCCATGGATTCAACCAGCCTCAGTATCACAGACAACCAGGTCTTTGGAGAAATGAAAATGACTACGGTGTCATACCTGAGCTTAAGTTTTCACCTGCTCTTAGGCAAAGAAAAGCTTGCCCAATTCCTAATACAGCTTCATTGGGACCAAAAGTCTGGTGTTGGCTTCAAATGATGTTTCTCTGGGTAGTAGTGGGGGGACTAAGAAATGAATACTTTACCTCCCACCTTCTAAGTTCTTCTAGCTGGACTAATAATCAAATTAGCAGTGACAGATTAACAGGAGAAAGTCATATTTTAATACATGAGCATGGGGAATTCACATATGCATGAAAATTCCAAAGACACAAGGCAACATTGAGTATATATGTCAGTTTGGACAAAGGAGAAAAGAGGGAGAATGAGCTATTCAGTTTCATAAATGAGAATGGGAGATTTACAGATAGTTGAGGAAGAGCGGAACACATTTGGCAGGCAAATTCTTGCCGGGCAACTCAGAAACAATGGGTCGGGGGTACCTAGCTAACAGGCCCTGCCTGAAGCCTCCCCACATACCACACTTAATTCAAATTAGATTAAGATGAACATCGTCAGACTGCCTTTCTGAAGCAGGTTTTTCTATCTGAATCTCTTGGGGAGCAAAGGAGGAAGGGTCAACATTTTTCTCTGAGTCTTTTGTTTCTTAATCAACAGCTTAAAATAAAACTCAAAACATTTTGTCCCCTACATCTACAGAGGAAATCCAAGATCACGAATCTGGTACCACAGGGAGGGTGATGAACTTTGAAATGTTTCATGACCAGATGGCAGTTGTTGACATTTCTGAGGCTAATGAGAAAACCTAGAACTAAAAGAACAGATGAACTGCAGCGTTTACCCTCAAACATGTCACAACCACTTATATTTATAGACCACAGAAGACAGGAAACATATTGCTGTGCAAAAGATCATTCTTTCTGTTCCTTAAAGCCAGTCTTACTCTGTCCATCCATTTTTAAATTCTCATCTCACTTCTATTCCATAATATTCTTTTAGCCTCCTTTGTTTTGCCTTTTCTCTGGAGGCCATACCAAATTGTATTCAAGAGAAATATTCAATTAAAGTAAATTGGTTGGGCCCAGACGTGGTGGCTCAGAGGTGAGTGTCAACCTGTGACCAGGAGGTCATGTTTCAATTCCCCATCGGAGCACGTGCCCAGGTTGCAGGCTCGATCCCCAGTGGGGGTCATGCAGGAGGCAACTGATCAGAGATTCTCTCTCATCATTGATCTCTCTCTCTCTCTCTCTCTCTCTCTCTCTCTCTTTCCCTCTTTTTCTCCCTCCCTTCCTCCCTCCCTCCCTTCCTCTCTGAAATCAATAATATATTTTTAAATAAATAAATAAATAATAAAGTAAATTGGTTGGCATGGTAGAAACAATACTAGTTAAATGACCAACATCTTTATTTTTCAACCAGATGTACAATCCTAAGGAAACCTGGTTTCTGTCTCCCTCTCCCAGGCTTCCTCTTTTTCTAGCTTCTATGCTTTTGATTCCTTTTCTGCTCACATGTTTGTTTCCTCTTCTTTCTAGTTCTATAACACTTCCAAAATCTTTTCCAAGATCTTGTTGAACTAAAACTATGGGAGAGGATTTTTCCCACAAATAAAAAATAAAAAATAGTACAGACTTCCAAGACCTGAGAGAGGCCAAGTAATATATTATGTTGAATGAGAGTTGCTAAAGGAAACAGGGGAGATATGAAAATGTCTTTATGATGGTGGGAGCCAAATGTCTTAAGAGACATCCTTTGTCTACTTCAGAGGAGAAGACCGTCCACAGCTATGAAAGGATTGAGGGGAAAGATGAAATCATTATCATCACATAATACAGAGGAAATAGCAACATTTGGAAGGGGGGGGGGTAATATTCTTTCTACAAATTCCAGAATTTCCTTACCTTTTTTCCTGGTAATTTAAAATGTGTATTTTCACCTTTCTCTTCACATCCAAGGGGAAAAAAATACTTAAGACTTAAACTAAATAGTGATTCTGAAGTTGAGATCATAAGCTTTGGGAGCCTGGATGATTTAAGTCTTGGTTTGGGGATTGAAAGGTCTCTTGTATCCAGGTTCTAAGTAGGCTGAAGCTTCTCTACTGCCATCAGAGACTTATGAGAACTAAGCATAAAGCATGTGAGTGATTCTTATTATCTTGGTTATTTGAAGACTGACTCCCTGGACTTGTTGGGGTGGTCTGAAATGAAAGAGAGGAGACTGCACCATTTTATTTATTTTTTAAATATATTTTTATTTATTTCAGAGAGGACGGGAGAAGGAGAGATAGAAACATCAGTAATGAGAGAGAGAGTTATTGATTGGCTGCCTCCTACACGCCTCCCACTGGGATCAAGCCCACAACCAGGCATGTGCCCTGACTGGGAATTGAATTGTGACCTCCCGGTTCATAAGTCAACACTCAACCACTGAGGAACACTGATTGGGCACCATTTTAAACTTCCAGCCTCTACAATACTGGAAAGTTCATGGAAGGAGGGTAGAATAAATGTTAGAATCTAATCTTTCAAATGCAACAAAACTTTCAAATATCTCCAACCCTGACCTTTTCCTTGAGCTCTGCTCATATATCCAAGCACTTGCTTAATTTCTCCATTTGAATGTCTAATTCGCATCTCAAACAAAATGTGTGCAAAATAGAATGCTTAATATATTTCCCTTAGCCTTTTTCTTCTCAGTAAATAGCAACATACAGTTGCCAACCTAGGAGCCACCCTTGGTTTCTCTCTTCCCTTCTTCCCTTCAGCTGATCCAATGGTACTGTTGACCCTACCTCCAAACTGTACCCCAAATCCATCCACCTCTTTACATCTACTGTTACCACCATAGTTTGAATGTTCTCATCTAGATTTCTGCATTGGCCTCCACACTATTTTTCCTGCATCCAATCTTTTACTCTGTACTTTATTTTCCATGCAGTGGCCACAAATCATATCATGTTACTGTTACTGAACCCAACTGTGTGTGCCCAACATTTCTAAAGACAAAAACTCAACACATCAAAGTTTGGAGTAAGGAAAGATTTATTGGTCAAGAAGGTGCCAATTGAGAAGATGGAAGACCTAACAGTGACTCAAATCCATATTGCTCTCTGGGCTAGGTTAAGGGGTTTTGATTGACTAGGGGTACACAGAAGTACTGGTGGGACAAGTTTTAATTGGAAGACCTTGGAACTTGGCCATTGATGGTAAAATGCATCAGCACTGGTCCTGGACAATTGACTCTTTGCTTCTGAAAGGTGTTGGTGTTCAAGATCCAGTTATGTCTCAATCTTTGGTTCTCTCTGTGTTTGCGTGATATGGGACTTTGGTTCCCGGTGCAGCTGGAGGTCAAAGTTCTCTATTTTGCACATGCTTCAGCTGCATAACTCACCATTGTGGTCTGTTGTCTCTGAAAAGTGACTCAGTATCTTATTAAACAGAATAAGACTATTTTCAGCTGGTTCTGTGGTTACATCACCACATCCCTTTTAAAGTCCACCATTGCACTGAAATAAACTCCCTATTCAAGTTTACAGATCCTTCTATGATGTGGCCTCTGCCCACTTCTCTGAGACTCCAGCCACATGGGCCTTTTATCTGTTCCTTAAAAACACTAAGATTGTTCCACCCACAGGACCTTGCATCTGCTTTTCCTTCTGCCAAAAACCTTCTTCTCCCAGACATCTGCATACTTGGCTCTTGATTATCTTTCAGGTCTCATTCAGCTCAGTTGTCTCCTCTTCAAAAATATCACCCTGACCACCAAACCTAAAGCCACTCCAAGTCACTCTCACTATTTTCTTTGCTTTATTCTTCTTAAATTATCTAGCTTATTTATTTATTTGTGGATAAACTGTATGCCCCACCCCCTCCAGTTAAAGATAACCTTCATGAGTGTAGAGATCTTATCTTTTTCGTTGTTTTCCCATGGCCTGGAATAGTACTTGTCCCATAATAAGCAACCACTGAATAATTATTGAATTAGTCAACTGCCTAAATACAACCTCTGCTTCTCTCTGTTCTAGCACTTATTACTATCGAATATAGTCATCTGTCACTAAAGTTTTTTCTT